CTTGGCATTTTAAGTATGATGTGTCTTGGTGTGGTCCTCTTTGGGTTCCTCTTATTTGGGGTTCTCTTTGCTTCCTGCACTTGTAAGTCTATTTCTTTCACTAGGTAGGGGAAGTTTTCTGTTATTTTTCTTCAAATAGTTTTTCAATATCTTGCTCTCTCTCTTCTTCTGGCACCCCTATAATTCGGATGTTGTTACACTTAAAGTTGTCCCAGAGGCTCCTTGCACTATCTTCATATTTTTGGATTATGTTTTCCTTTTGCTTTCTGGTTGGGTGTTTTTTGCTTCTTTGTATTTCAAATTTTTGACTTGATTCTCAGGATCCTTTAGTCTGCTCTTGGATCTCTGTATATTCTTTATTTCAGTCAGTGTATGCTTAATTTCTAATGGGTCCTTTTTCATATCCTTGAGGGTCTCACTATATTTCTCGGAGGTTTCTAGAAGATTCTTGAGCAGCCTTATAACTGTGGTTTTGAACTCTATATCCAGTAGTTTGCTTTCTTCCATTTCTTTCATTTGTGACCTGTTTCTTTGTCTCCGCATTTTGGCTGCTTCCCTGTGTACCATTATTGATAGAGTGGTTTTGTGTGCTAGGTGTCCTATAGGGCCCAGTGGCTCAGCCTCACCACTTACCTGAAGTGAACACTCTTGGTGCACCCCTTAGTGGGCTGTGTGCACAGTCTTGTTGTACTTAAGCCTTGATTGCTTTTGGTATCACTGGTAGGAATTGACCTCCAGGTCAATTGGCTGTGAGAACCAGTTGTGTCTACAATGGGAGAACTTCTGTGCTGGAGACATCCTTATGGGGCAGGACTTGCTTCAGTGAGGCTTTGGTGCTGAGTTTGCCCCCTGAGTGTGTCTGTTATGGATGTGAAGAGTTGTAATCTGGATGGTCTCACTCTGACCACTGGGTAGACTGGCTCTTGGATCTCCAAGGAGGTGCAAAGTCAGCCACTGCCTGAGGCCACACAGCAGGAGCTACAGAGTTATCTGCAGATTCCTTCTCTTTGTTTGGGGTTTGGAGGTGCCCAGATGAAGTGCACCTGTGAAGTAATGCAGGCTGCTGACGAGCCTTAGGCCTTCTTTTGGAAGCTCAGGGGTTCTCTGATCCAGCTACAGTTTGACAGGCTTTTAGGTGGAGAAAGGCCAGGCCATTAGTATGCAAAAGCCTCTGAGCACAGCTTGGGTGGGGTTGTAAATTGGGTGGGGTGTGGTCTCAGGGAATCAAACAACAATGGTTGGCCATTGGCCCTCCCCCGGATAGGTTCCTGGGTCTCTGTGTCCTGCGGCCAGTGCAGGGACAATGAATGCTGCAGGAACCTCTGTGAGAAAGCTGCCCTCGAGTTCCGCCAGATGCCAGACAGTCCAGTTTCTCCCCGTATGAGTCTGGGTCCCCAAATTCTCACCTGGAGCTGGAGTTCAGAGCAGTCGGGAGCTTGTTTCTCCCTTCTGGTTGAAAAAGACAACAGCGCACCCAGTTGCCAACCCCTTTCTTGCATGCCTCCGTACCTCCACATTTCCATACCTCTGCACCTCCTACCGGACTCAATGTGCTTTTCTCTTTCCTTCTAGTTGTAGAATTTCCACTCAGCCAGCCTTCCCGTGGTTCTGGATGATATTCGTTTTGTCTTTTAGTTGTAGTTTTAATGTGGTTGTGCATAGCAGCAAGTTCAGTTACTTATGCCGCCATCTTGGTTGTACCCTCAGGGTTGGGATTTTTTTTTTCAGACAGTACACTGAGGTGAGATGGGGCAATGGAGTTGAGAATGATTTTTGTGATGAGCCATGAGGGTCTAATATGAGTGATGAGAGATGGATGGGCTGTAGGTTCTGTTGGAGTTGAGAACTATAAGACTTGGGACAGTGAGTTGGAAAGATAGGAGGTAGAGGTTGAAGAAGCTATTTAGGGGGTGCAGTTGTGGAAAGGACCAGGTTAAGGTATGCCTACGGGAGTGATTGAGGTGGTATGAAAGCAGAGATCACTGAGGAAGAGGAGGACTAGTGTCCTCATATTCAGAGAAAAGGAGGTCAGAGAAGGTGACGCTCACAGGTGTATTTCTGTTCTCCTTTTCCCTACCTTCCTTTGCCCTATTGGTGTTTGTCCTTCTTTGTGTGGAGCTGATGGTTATAGTAGGAAATGCTTTTTTTTTTTGCCTGGTTGTTTCTTTACCCTTTGCGTTACTTCCTGGCTGGCTTGTGTTTTGTTGATTAGTATTTTCTGAAACCTGTAACTCAGTCCCATTAGAGATGGGAGGTGTACCATTATTGAGATTTATTTATTCTACCCTTTTTATTGCCTGTCAGGTTCTATTTGTATGAACAGACCCCTTCCCTTAATCATGGTCATGTGCTTATAGCTGTTTCTAGCAGGGGAACCTCTGATTATCAGGGCAAGAGTGGGTGGATCATAGCCAACCCATTCCCACTGAGTGAGTAGCTCAGAACATTATGATTCCAGGACCCATAGGATTTGATCATCATTGCCATCATCGGCATGCTTTCTTTCTGTTCTGGGGCCAGCACTTGGGACATGAAAAGATGAGATGGTCAATAGCATGGAATATCGAGGCAGAGAACATGATTCAAATCCAGCTTCCACAATTACTAGTGGTATGGACTTGGGAAAATTACCTAGCCTTTCTGAGTCCCAGATTTTTCATATTTCTTGTTCTTAAGACATAGATAATGTCACTCTGTAATGTTTGGCTATGAAATGAGATAATGCAGGTCAAACAGCATTGAGCAGAATAACTTGGGAAATATTGAAGCAGGATAGTAGGAAGTGAGAAGAGAAATTCCTTGATAGGTGGAATAAGGGAAACTGAGACAAAATAATTAAACAAAGCCAAATAATTTGAGTAATTTACAGCCAGCTAATGAATCACAAGGTTTTATCTTCCCTCAACAAGGACAATTAGGAGCAAATGGTTTACACATTCCAGTACTTTGTGTGTTCACTCATGTTCACCCTCCTTTTGTCATGAATAGAGAGTCTTGAACATATCAAATGCTCATTGCACTTTTATTCAGTGAGTGAATGATTGGGAGAATGAAGCTGGGGTTGTCTAGACATTTGATCCTCTAACTCATAAGCTCACAAATAAATATGTGCACTGGATGTCCCACAAGCTGATGTCTTAGGGAGGACCTCTTTGCTAAAATCCACTTCAAAGTCCTGTCTCCTTTTTAAATAGAGGAACAGCATGATTTACAGGCTGAAGAGAATGAAGTCAAGGGTGCCAACAGTTGGGGAAACACATTCCTTAGTTTGTCAGGGAAGGAAGAAGCTGAATTACAGAAGCCTAGAAAGGGGAGTTCTTCTTTTCGTCCCAGTGAAAGATGCTTCTAGAACTTTTGGCTTATCAGGAGCGCTGAACCACATTGAAATAACTTGGTGGCGAGTTCAATGGTTCTGGATTGGTGTAGATGGTTTGGAAGACCATCGGCTGCTGGAAAAGATAGGCACAGGAGGTACATTAGTGAGAACCGTGTATACAAAAAGGCCTTTAGACATTCTGGGCAGGAAAGGGAACCTGAAGGCCCATCTGGTCCCCACACTCTTTGGGGCATGTTTACACCCTCTGAAGGTCCTACAAACTCACGCTGTTGTGTAAATGGCGGAGTAGCTGGTTGCCAAAGTGGGCAGACGTGCAGGCAATGCAGAACTCCAGGAGGCTAAAGATGAACAGCACAGCAGAAGTAACTACTCCAGGGTACTAGAATCAGAAGGAACACAAAGTCGTGAGTACTGCCCCGGGAGTGTGAAGTTCGGCCGAAAGCATGGCTTTGCTATGGATCATGGCTAGGGCTTTGAGGAAGTCCTCTAACCTCATCTCATCCTCGTGGAGAAAATATCTCACCAGGTTTTGTGAGGGTCAAGAGCGTTTGTAAAAGAATTATTTTAACACTTACTACCTGTGTTCTTGTAAGGGAAACATTGTTTAGGGAAACACCTTGATGACTTGTTTCAGGTATAGGGCACAAGACCTAAGGATGGGGTGTGGAGTGAGACAGTGAAAGAGTGAAACTGTTCTGTGTAGGAAGTGAATAGAAATTTGGGAGTAAGGACAGGCCACAGAGAGGAAAAGGAAATGACGGGACCAGAAGGTGGAGTCTGCAGGAGAAGGCATCTTGTGAGAAATTAACACATTACAAAACAGGAATGTCTAACTTCCAGGCATCAGTAGTCACCTCCACCATCCCTCCAAACCTTTAGAGAAAGTCAGCTTCTAAAGCAACCTTCCTGGCTTGCGACCCTGGCATTTTGTGGAGAGAAATCATTGGGACTGTCTTTATAGCTTGGGAAAACAATCAGTAAAAGGATCCCCAAATGGAACTAATTCAGCAGTAGATTTCACGTGAGCACCAGGAGACATCTAAGCCAAGAGTGGGGAATGTCTGGCCAGGCCCAAGAAATCATTTGGTCTGGACCTGCCATAGCAGTGGTTCTCAATCTTCTGGCCCCTTCAATACAGTTCCTCATGTTGTGACCCAACCATAAAATTATTTTCGTTGCTACTTCATAACTGTAGTGTTGCTACTGTTATGAATCGTAATGTAAATATGTGATAAGCAGAATGGTCTTAGGTGACCCCTGTGAAAGGGTCATTCGACTGCCAAAGGGATCGCGACCCATAGGTTGAGAACCGCTGTGCCAAAGCATTAGAGGTAAGTTAATTATAACAGGTTAATTTTTAAGTTTGTAATTTTGTATGGCCTGCAAGTGATGTTATAAATATTCAAATGGGCCTTGGTAGAAAAAAAGTTCCCTACCCCTGAATTCTAACCCCATCCCTTGCTATTCTCCAACAATGCTCAGGAAAATGGGGTCTCCCACTGTGTCTGGGGAGAGAGTTTGGGTAGAATCCACTTTATCATAAAAGGACAAGAGATGAATGACCCCAATAACCACTTGGGTTCCAATTACAGGAAAGAATAAATATGAAAGTCAAAGTGCATGGCACATGGTAGGTACCAAACAAATATTTGTCAATTATGATTTTTAAAATGGCATTGGTGATAGCTGGCTGCTCAGAGAATCCTCTCTTATGGAAAGACCATTCCTCTTCACTTTCCTTTTCTTCCCTCCCTATTTAGTAAGCATTTATTAAACATCTGCTTGCTATGATTGGTTAAGAAAGCATCCTGAGAGGCACAATCTAGTGAGGATGGCAGATAAAGATGTAGACAATTATAATTCAAATCAGACATGGTAAGAGGTATAAATGAGTCAAAAATAGTGTCTCAAGGCACTAAGGAGAGATAGTTTCTCAGTAGAAGATTCAGTGATGTGGGTTTGGACATGTGTCCAGGCAAAGGGGATAACAGGATGACGATGTCTTAGTCAAGATATCACAGAAGCTTAGGGAGAAGGGCCCTTTGCAAATGAAGCTGGTCCTTTTCAAATGTATTTTTAACAACAACGTTATTTCATAAATAAAACTTTCTTTTGGGAGGGGAGATGGAGACTGGGTGAAAAAGGTGAAGGGATTAAGAAGTACAAATCAGCAGTTCTAAAATAGTCACAGGGAAGTAAATTAAAGTATAGCATGGGGAATGTAGTCAATTATACATTGTAATGACTATGTACGATGTCATGTGGATAAAGTCTTTATTGAGGTGATCACCTCATTAATTATGTGTGTCTAATTATTATGCTGTGCACCTGAAAATGTAGTACTGTATGTCAACTGTATTTGGAAAAAAACAAACACCCTTCCGTTAGGGAGAAGGGATCCTCAAGCAGCTTAGATAGTTGTTATTTGGTGAGATTAATTCATGTTTATTGAGCCCTTGAAGTGGCTCATCTTTTGCTAAGCTATGAAGTCCAGCCCTCCTTGTTCAGGACTGAGGCAGGAGAAGGGTGGGTGGCCAGAAGGGAAGAATTCTCTTTCCAAGGTCAGGCATGGGCAGAAATGAGATTAGAAGTCAGGTGGCAGTGTCTCCAGCCAGTATGATGACTGAAAAACTGGTGAAAATGGCTGGATTCTGGATTCATTTTAAGGATGAAACCAGCAGGATTTTGCTGAGGAGTTTGCTGAGAGGTGTGGGAAACAGAGAGCAGGTCAATGATTTCACTACGTTTTTGTCCTCAGTGACTGCAAGGATGCAGTTGCCATCAACCGGCAAAAGGCGACTTGAGAGAAGGTTTGGGAAGTAAAATCTAGAGATGAGATTTGAATATGTTAACCTCAAGATAGTGAGTGGACAATTGGATACAAGAGACCAGAGTTTCGAGAGATATTTTGCGGGAAGCTGTGCAACTGGAGTCATTTTCATAGAGAAAGTGTTGCAAGTCACCAGACTGGATGACACTGCCAAGGCAGGAAGTAGAGAGAGAAACAGAAGAAAACTGAGGACTGAGTGTGAGAAGTTGGGGAAAAAATAAGAATCAGCAAAAGGGACAGAGAAGAGAGCAACCAGTATGGGTGCAGGAACACCAGCTGCAGGGCCTGGGAGCCACGGGAAGTCCACCAAAGAGGAGGAATGATGGGGGACCTTGAGCAGAGGAGGCTTTGGAGAAATGAGGCTGGACATATGGCTAGAGTGGGCTCAAGAGATTATGAGAGGAATGAATTGGAGACTGTGAGGTAGACAATTCTTTTAAGGAATTATCTGCAGAGAGGGCCAGAGAAATGGGGTGGTAGCTGAAGTAACCAAGGAAGGTTGGTTTGTTTCTTAAGATGAAAAAACAAAAGTGTGTTTAGATGCTTATAGAAAATCTGTAGCAAGGGGGTGTGGAAAGTGATGTAGAAGAGAGGTGGGGGCAAGGGAGAGAGGAGAAGTACATGGAGTGATAACCTTGAGTGGGCAGAGAGAACAGGGCTGCTGGGCAGAGGGAGACATTAAATTTACATGGAACTCATCCATAGTGGCACTTTCAGATCTGTTAGGACCAGTGCCCAGAGGACTTGAGATGTGGTGTAAATGCAAAAACAACACTGGATTTCAAAGATATGGCACCAAATATGCAAAATATTAAGTTAATAATTTTTTAACCCAAATTACATATTGAAATGACATTTTAGATGAATTGGGTTAAATAAAATGTATTATTAAATTAGTTTCACCTGTTGCTTTCTTTCATTTTTAAATGTGGCAACTAGAAGATGTTAAGTCACATATGAGGCTTACATTAGATTTCTCTTGGATAGCATGGGTCTATATATAGCAAATGAGAATCGGCTTTGTCTATGCATATTCTATGGCTGCTTTCACAATGGGTTAAGTACTTGCAACAGAGACCAGATGGCCTGCAAAGCCTTAACTGTTCACTCTCCATCCCTTTTCCGCACACTTTTGCTGAGCCCTTTGTCCACAGTAATGGGCAAGAAGGCAAGCATGTGAGTAGAGGTGCAGCTTTGTGGGTATGGTGTATTATCTGTATAACTGCATCTAATTCTCCCAACAATGTCATAAGGTAGGAACTGTATTTTTCTTTTCTTTTTTAAAAAAATCTTCATTGTTGAAAGTATTACATATGCCCCTTTCTTCTTCCTTTGGCTTCTTAGAGCCTGCCCCCACCCCACTATTGTTTGTGTCCATGGGTTATACATATATACAAACAAGTTCTTTGGTTGATCTCTTCTCACCCACCCACCCACCGACCTTTGCCTTCCCTTTGAGGTTCAACAGTCTGTTCCATGCTTTTATGTCTCTAGATCTATTTTGTTCCTTAGATTCCACATATGAGTGAGATCATGTAATACTTGTCTTTCTCTGACTGGCTTATTTCGCTTAGCATAATATTCTCCAGTTCCTCCATGCTGTCTCAAAGGCTAAGAGATCCTTTTTTTTTTTTACTGCTGCATGGTATTCCATGGTGTAAATGTACCACAACGTTTTTATCCACTCACCTCCCGACGGTATTGTTTTATAAAGACAGAAACCAAGACTAAGAAGTCACATGCTTGGAGTAACAGCAATAAAGCTACACACTTGAAACTCTGTTCTGATTCTGACGACATCCCTGTTTTCTTTGGTGCTTGGTGAAGAGGCTTGGTGGTCAGGCCCTTTCCATGATTTCCTAAACATAGCTAAGCTGGAGCCCCGTGGAGCATTGGCCAAGAGGAATACTCACCACACCCCAGTAAGGATAGTAGTTGGGGTAGTAATAATGTAGGGGGTTGATAATCAGATCTGTGATGAACAGCGAGATTCCAACCATAGAACAGATTGCACTGATGATGTTCAAGGCCAAGCTGCCATTCAGCTGAAGAAGACACAGCGGGTCAGGATATGAGAGAAAAATGTAGTTGAGTTGAGCATAGATTAAACTTGTGATTCTTAATGTGCATTCCTAGAATCCTAGTCCTGGAGCAAGAGGTGTACTATGCAAAAAAGTAAAATGGTGGTGAATTAGCTTTGAAAACACGTGGGCTGAAAAATGTTAGACAGGTATTTTGTGCAGGACTTCTCAGAGCCTTTAACATGGATTATGGATCTTCCAGAGAGGGGACTACTAAATAGATATTCCCTCCCCCCGCCCCCAAGTTTATCTAACCATAAAGTATCTCATGGGACAAGTTCCCCAAGAATAATCTTTGGGAAACACTTGACCCACTTATCCCCCAGGAGATGGGTAGGAAACTTAACCCAAGTGTCTTGCGATGTGACAGGTTCTGATGCTCCAAAATTCTGGTAAATGTGCAGAAAGGGATGCCCAGAATTGACCTTCCCTGTGGAGATTTTAAAATAGATCTCATCTGGTTTGGGGCCCCATGCCTCAGATAACCTGCTTGTGAGAGAAGCAAAGGTACTTTCTTAATCCAGTGCTTGGGGACCACCAAGCCTTGCTCATGTTGATTCACAGAGCTTATTTGGCAGGATTCCTTAGGGAAGCTGCTGTCTGAGCCTCCCCTGGCTTCCCTGTAGAAATGTTGGCACTGGGCTCTGTGTGCTCCAGGCAATCAGTGCCTGCTCTGCTGGAGGGGAGCCCTGCACCCAGGTAGCTTTTTGCCTCCTCTTGTAAGACCCTCTTAGGAAAGTTATTCTCTGTCTCTCCACACCCTGATGCCTAAATGAAGTTGGTTGTATTGCCCTTCCTCTCCCGAGTCTT